CAGTCACAGCTCCAGCAAGCAAGCAAACTGGCTACACTGGCAGCAAACCCAGCGCGTCAGGTGCAGCACCCTATTAACCCCCCCAAGCTTCAGAAGACAAAGCCTTCTGCTGGATTGGGAGACTTGGAAATGTACATGAGCAGGAAGGAGTCACACACACTCACACACACACACACACACACACTCACACACACACACGCACGCACACACACAAGTACCCCAGGAGCATGACTGGCTGAATATTGCTATAAATTGTGAATGAAACTGTAGAGATAAAGTCCAATGTGACACAGAGTCTTATCTAAGGTTCCTCCTCTTCTCGGACAGAGAACACATTCTGAAGATAAAGACGGTGACAGTGAGAGTGACGGGGACGGCAGTGGGAGGAGGGGGGCCATTTCAGTGATGAGGAATAAACGGCATTGCGTGTACTTACAGTGTTTTTCTGGCAAATGATTTCCTGAAAGGGAAGAGAGCAGAGGCTTAGAAAACGTCCACCTGAAAGGGAGCAGTGAGTCATTGCAAAACTCAACAGACTTATCAGGTTTTGTGTGACTTTGTGAATTGGAATTGGAATGACTCTGAGTGTCACTTATGGCAGGGTGACTGCGAGCTGCTGCTCTGCAGCGCTGGGCGAATAGGAAAGGAGAGTGCAGAGCAAAGGGGCCTTTTACGACCAGTCAGAGTGGATGTTATTAAGGGGTCAAAGTTCGAGATAAGCGAGGAATAAATGGAACATCCCAGGAAAGCCCCCACACCAAAGAATTCTGGTACCCATGAAGTACGAATAAAGCCCCCCCCACAGTGTGCTTGATTGCGTGTACGTGCTGCTCTTGTACACTGGGGGCTCCCCTTGAGGCTCTGAATCATTTAGAGGAAAAGAGGGAGAGAAAACTAAACCAGATGAGATAAAGGCCAACATGTTTTCGTGACCTGCAGGTGTGCAGGGTCACGGGAAGAACACGCCGATCCCGACACAAGAAAGCAGCTCCTCCCCCACGCCACCTTCCCCCCCCCCCCCCCCACATGCCCCATAACATACCTGCAGGGACTGTAGTGAGTCAGAGTTGGAGTCACAGTACAGGATGATGTTGTTGACCATGCTGAAACTTTCCCTGACACCCAGGTGGTAGAAGAGCGACGGCTGTCGGAATGCGTCGGTCATCTCCACCACGGCGATGTCTGCAGGGGTCCCGGGTCCCAGCAGGAGGGGGGGGGGTAGGGAGACTGCCATTAGGCTTGAAGCAGCGCAGCAGGAACGAAAATCTCTGCTATCAATTAGCAGCCAAAATGCCATATTAAGCTGTTTGTTTCAGCAAAAGTCACACCAGGTGCCTGAAATTCATTCTAACCTTAGGGAAAGTAATTCAGGCTGGTCGTGTTACTTAACTGGGGAATTACTGCGATTCAGTTCCCTTTAATTATTTACATGAAGGGTAATATTAATTATCTGGGGTGGCTGGTATCCCTCTGGTGAAATGGGCCAGGCCGAAAAAAAAAAAAAAACCACAAAAGCTGAAAGACACCCCCCACCCTCCCACGGGCACCTTTTATATGAAAGTGACGCGCGGAGCATTTCAGAGCAGCAGAAGTCGGGAGGAACAGAGGAGGTGAACTTGTTTGGCAGGATGACATTCAAAGGGCCAGTCCCTCGCCGACAGCGGCCCCTCCCCCAGCGAGCCTCATGCAAATGGTACCAGGAAATGGCTTTTGCTTGCGCTACAGGCTGCTTCTGCTCTGTGTGTGTGTTTTTTTCCAGGGTTCTGGGTAAAATTCTACCCCGCCAACCCCTTACACGAGGCCACGTGCATTAAACGTTGAGGCTCTCTTGCCGCCTTTCCTGGCGTTAGAGAACTGGGAACCGGAATGCGCAGCTGTGTGCTGGTTTGGGTGGGCGGCTAGAAACCACAGCAATGATAAGATAGGGTGGAGTTTCAGTGAACGGTTGCTGCCGGCGTTTTTTTAAGTAATGGTCAGCTTCAGAGGACTTTGATTCCTCACCAGAGCCGCCAGGCGCCCTGCTTCGGTAAAGGAGCCCCGTGTCGGTAAAGGAGCCCCGTGTCAGTAAAGGAGCCCCACGTCGGTAAAGGCGCCCCGCTTCGGTAAAGGAGCCCCGTGTCGGTAAAGGAGCCCCACGTCGGTAAAGGCGCCCCGCTTCGGTAAAGGCGCCCCGCTTCGGTAAAGGAGCCCCACGTCGGTAAAGGAGCCCTGCTTCGGTAAAGGAGCCCCGCTTCGGTAAAGGCGCCCCGCGTCGGTAAAGGCGCCCCGTGTCGGTAAAGGCGCCCCGCTTCGGTAAAGGCGCCCCGCTTCGGTAAAGGAGCCCCGCTTCGGTAAAGGCGCCCCGCTTCGGTAAAGGCGCCCCGCTTCGGTAAAGGAGCCCCGCTTCGGTTAAGGAGCCCCGCTTCGGTAAAGGCCCCCATGCGGCAGGAAGGAGATGTGGAAACTGACCCCTGCGGCACGGCAGCTTCCTGGACGGGACGGCATGTGGCCACAGCCCTCAGGGCCACCCCCCCCCCCAGGCCGAAAAATGCACGTGACACTCCCTCTGGAAGGCAACTCATGAAATAGGTACGGGGGTGAAACGAGCAAAGGCAAATATTTGCTTTAGTGGGGCACGGCCGGCCAGCTCATGGAACGTGAGAAGAACTAAAGCTGAAGGACGTCACCTTAGATACCGGGAAGGATACCTGGAGCTCACAGCCCAAATTACAGCAGAGGGAGAGAGGGAGAGAGAGAGAGAGAGAGAGAGAGAGACTCAGCCATGCAGGACAGATACGGCTGGCATAGTCAACCAGACATGATACACCAACACGTCATTATTTACGGAGAAAATAAACACACACACAGTTCATTTAAAAGCATATTAAACCACTAACAGAGGTAGTTAAGTCAATTATTGGCCCTGCAATAATTGTGTGATGTCATTTCTAATTACGGTGTAATTAATTTCACGGCAATTGCTTGGAGAAATCACAGAAAACACTTGTGTGTGAATGACTCCTTCTGAAGGGAGGCCTCGCTATAAAAAGGCCCGCATTTAACAAAAACCATCTGGCTTTTGGGACAAAAGTACTACACCGACTGGGATGAATGTTGCAGGAGGACGTATGAACTGGGATCAAATGTGCCATTAACAGCAATGGAGTGTGACGTGGTCTAGGTGCTGGGCAGCCAAACAGCTGGATGACCAGCTGCCTGAGCTTCACGAGAAGCTTCCAGGGTCAAACTCAGTTAAAAGATCTGGCAATCCTTCAGTAAGCTGTAAGCAAACATGGATGAAGGGACCATGTCAAGCACAATGGTTTAGGATTTGGCTTGGAAATGCAGGAGGGGACAAATTTGAGAAATTTGATGCTGCAAATCTGAAAACAAGAAAGGAACATCTATTAAAAAAAAGAAAAAAGTCAAGCTTGGGGACAGAAGACATGTTCAGATGAATAGATGGATGGTCTGGGGGACTTTGGAGAGACTTTGGAGATGCTCTGCTTGGCCACAAAGGCGTCCCTTTCAACCCAATAGGAGAAACAGAACATTGGCTTAAGTACAGCATCTTAAACCACGAACGTGGAGCAGAACCGACCCAGAACAGCAACAATCCTAACTTCTGAGGCTGATATCAAGATCTCCATTCACCACCGTTTCAGCAGCATCGCCACTCCAGAATCAGGGCCGGCTTGGAGAGACACAAGGCCGAGTCTGTGAGATTAAATTTCCCTCGCCCTTTTACAGGGAAGCTTCCATCACACCGTTGCAGTGGTGGAATAATGCAATTTGATCACATGCTTTTTTTGGACCTGACACACAGCTGTTATGCTTCTTAACCATCGCAGGCTTTCCCCTCAGAAGCGGCCAGGCACCAGCAGTCGGGCTCCTGAAGGGATCTGCAGCAGTGGGCCAGTTCACACACAATGCACCATCCCACCCTCTGCTGCAGGTCTCTACAGCAGGCCAAGCGTCTCACTTTCACTTTGAAACCACCTCCGCGAGGACTGACCCCCATTTCCTCTGCAAAACCTCAAAGTAACACGACGCTGCACACATGTGCAAATGCATTTTTCGTTTAATTTTTTAATTTTTTTTTTTACAAATAAGTTTAATAAATAAATGAATAAATTCAGCTAGTGTTCCGCCTATTCCCAAGTGACCTCACTGCTGTGCTGTCTACAACATAATGTCCACAGTTGTGTGAGTGCTGTAGTTCCCATTATCGCAGGAGAATGTTAGGAATTTTGGCACTGATGCGTCAATGAAGGAACATTTCTTTCCAAATGGGGAGGCGGAGGGTGGGGGGGGGGGGGGGGGCGCAGTCTTTCGATTCCAATTCTGTATGGAATACTTCTCTCAAGGTGTTGGTGCTTACGTGGTTTGTAACATCCAAGAGCCCTATTTACTGTCCTCTCAAGACGCTCCCGTTTAACAATATTAATACGATCATAATGCTTCATTTAATGTCCACTCAGTATGACTCAGACCAGAGGCAGTTAGGAGACGGACGTGGCGAGAGGCCAGTTTAGATGTCACAGGCTGGGCTGCACAAAATGTGCATGTGGCGTTATTATACAAGGCCAATGACGGTGGCACAAATCATTTTTAACTAAGACTCGGGGCCGGGGAGCCCTCAGTCTGGTTACCGACACAGTGCATGCCTCTGGCGCGTGTTAATAGGATACAGACTTGTGAACAGATAACAGAATGTGTGAGTTTGTCGCTTCCTAGGAACTTTGACATAAAACGAAAAAAAAGCTCATTATTAATTTCAAAGAAACTTCTGTGTGAGATAAAGGAAATCAAAACCATTAATACAGAGAGACTCTAAATGTCACCGAAGCGTTAAAGCGCTCGAGCTGCCCGATTTAGCCGGGCGATTCCGCGACTCGCAAACAGCAGCGAAGAGAGCCGGCTGCTGAACGTGAACATGCCCTCACAGAAAGGCACGCGCTGCAAAACAATGAGCCCCACACACCCGGCCCTGCAAACGCCTTTTTTTTACGTTTGCAGTTTTTATTTATTCATTTTTTTTTTTTTTTTTTAAACATGCTATCCAAGAAGGAGACAATACAGGGCCTGAGAAAAACATTACAGGAAATGGAACAATAAGGGAGTTTCGTCAGACCTACGTGAGGGAACATGTGATTTTTTTCCCCCTCCTATTAAATAGTTACAAAAGGCATTCAGGGGCAATGGTAAGCTAGTAAAAAAACACTCAGTTCCTGGAACATCCCTACTTTCTGAGTAAACTTGCTTGCTCCGTGACACACAACCCCTGTAACTGACATACACATTCCGCTGAACTTTCCTTAGGTCTGTCAAGGAAGCCAAAGTTACTCTGGTGCACTTTAAATAGAACCACTAGAATCCCCGTTTCTCCACCCGCCCCGAAGGGAGCGTGGATAAACAAGCAGGTACCAAAATATCTAGAGAGAGGCAAGGGAGTGAGAGCTAAACACGCGCTCTTGTGCGACTCCAAGCTGACGCACACGTCTTATCTTGTGGAAAGGCGTTCGGTGAGGCTGGCAACTGGTTCCGGGCGTGTCAAGAACACGGATCTCCGAATTATTTTCCCAAACAAGAGTGTTTGGGGAATTGCTGATAGCAGGGGTGAAAGCTGCGGCCTCTGATCACGGCCTGCCATCATAGCGAGGCCTCATCGCCTGTCGGTGACGTTCCGGCTGGGCCTCCAAACGTTACCACAGGCTGATAAGGGTGCGCCAAGGGATTCCTCCCCCAACCCACACCTAGACCCCAACAGGAACCACAACGGACCATGGCAGGCTTTTAGCGTTAGCGACAAAACACGAAGCTCGATGAGTTAGCAAGGTCACACCCCCAAACATGTGATGTCATCCCAAAGTCCTCTCATCTTCAAGGTCCAACTGAAGTCAATAGTGCAGCATGTGTAGTATGAGAGAGAGGAGCAAAATTATAGTTCCCTCGACAAAAGACAAAAAAAGAAATGCAGGATCTCAGGAGGATCCAGAGCAGAAATCAAACAGTCACGCTATTAACAGCACTGCTTAGATTTTGATTTCTATGCGGAACCACTAAAAAAGGAAGTGATCGGAGTAGTGCACAATAACGAATCGTCTTTTCACCTTTAGAGTGCAATTTTTTTGCACTCTTGCAGCTGCAATCAAAATACAGTTGGCAGGACTTATTGCATCATTTCCTGTCCGGCAGCTTCCTGAACTCAATGGCTCCCACGCCGTGATACTCGTTGGTGACGATCATGATTGGTGACCATGGGGCAGTAACCGAGTTCACTCTGCTTTCCTGGAAGAGTTCACTGAAGCAAATCTGCATTTTGTATAATAATTCTGCCGGAAAGGACTCCAAGATTAGGGAAGAAATAGGACCAATTATGTAAGCCTCTGCAGGTTCAACAGTCCTTCTCAGGGTCTGTGAGGAAGCTATCCCAGGCGAGACAGTACGAGTCATTTCCTGTTTCTGCACAGAGCCTCATTTAATGCCAGGATCCATTCTTTCCAGCCTGATTTAGGGTAAAGCAGAAATGCTTCGAAAAAAAAAATGAGATGGATTCCTGGTAGGACTGGTGAAACTGTGGGCTCTCATTCCACTTCCTTGCAAAGATCTTGGATTGAGCTCCACAACCTCTGATTCATGCACACAAGCAATAAAACAAAACAGCAGCAACCAGGCCTTCAAATACGGGCAGATAGATCCCCAAGAGGATGCCTACTTTGGGCAAGATAGAAGGCAGTGAGCAGCTCACAAAGAACCTCATGTTTCCCAGTGCCTAGAGCACTTCTGTGTAGCCCTCGGTATCCATACTGAGAAAAAGCTCTTTGTAACTCCCTCCTTCATGTTAAGTAGTAGCTGAATGCAGAGGGTGCTCTCATGAACAAGCATACAAGAATCCAGGAGCTGGGAGGGAGCAAAAATGTGGACTGTCTGGCAGGGAACTCAGAGGGAGCAAAAATGTGGACTGTCTGGCAGGGAACTCAGAGGGAGCAAAAATGTGGACTGTCTGGCAGGCAACTCAGAGGGAGCAAAAATGTGGACTGTCTGGCAGGGAACTCAGAGGGAGCAAAAATGTGGACTGTCTGGCAGGGAACTCAGAGGGAGCAAAAACACCGGCTGACTGTACGTCACCGAGGACTGGATTGGGAAACACTGCTCTACATGCTTAATCTGGGAGGCATCCATGTCTAATGAATGAGAGGAATCAACCCAAGGTATGATGGGATTAGAGACCAAAATAAGGCAAATGAACAAATGAAACTCCTAATGCTTGTTCTTGTGAACCGAAGCACTACTTCAACACTGAAGCAGGTCAGTTGTTAAGACATTCCCAGTGAAACAGTGCAACATTCCCAGTGAAACGGTGTAACATTCCTAGTGAATTGCAACAATGTACCGGGAGAGTAACTTTCTGCCCACTGTGTATCGAGAGGACCCCCCCTAACCCCCCCCCCCCCCCCCAACCCAAGGTTGGCAAAACATACCGCCATTACTCAGTAGTTCGCCAGATTTTGAAAAAGTAACTGTCATTGTAAAAAAAAGGTTGGGAACATTGTTGTAACACTATCTTTGATTGTAAAAAAAATATAAATTATGGCCTTTTCTCCATTATTCTCTGAAGTCTGGGGACCTTCAAATGTAGCTTGAGGTCCCTAAGCTTTGATCTTACCCATCTTAACTACATGGATGTAATCAACATGGGCATTGTTACTTGTCCTTAGTTTCAGGAAAATGATACTATTAAGCTAAAATGTTGTTTTTTTGTTTAGATACAAAGGTGCAGCTACTTCCCAGGCTGAAAATGTTTTGTTGTTTAAATCCTCGTGCTTCACTGCGAGATTTCTTTCACCAAGAGCTCATGTTTCAGACTTATAAAACTGGTTCCTCTGTAAAGCTTTTCCACTTTTAAACTAGACCCACGGAGGTTTCTGGGAAATGGTGCCCGGTTCACGTGCAAATTATGTGAGTGTTTGTGGCGCACGGGCGAGAAGAGGAACATAAATGCTGACAAAAAAAAAACACAATCACGCTGCGATAACAAGCACCTGTGAACCCCTGACTATGTAGCGTGACTCTTTCAACAACAACATTCAAAGGAAAAAAAAATACAAACACCACTGTATTTCAACAGTCTTGGCTTCACACTCGGATATATGGGGTCCAGAACTTTATGAATATGAAAATGCACAAAAACATGAATTTCTGCACTGACAGAAATTCTGAGTCATGGAATAAATTGTACACTTTTTTTTCCTCCAAGATTTCAACTAATGGAGCCGTAAAAGCTGAAACAGCTTGTGTATCAAAGACTGGACTCAGGATACAGGATACGAAAAGCTTAGCACAGATACAGGATACGAAAAGCTTAGCACAGATACAGGATACGAAAAGCTTAGCACAGACAGGTCCTAAATCTACGCAAGGACGGGAAAACGTAGTACCACAACAGCACAGAGAACACACAGTATGCCAGTGCAAGGAAAGAATAGCACAAAAAAACAGAGAGATACACACATCAATTCATAGACGGATGAGTAGGTATGCTGACCGTTCCACGCATATTAGCTCGGAAAGGCTCAAAACAACCCAACCTTTGTTATGTAGCAACAGGTGTGTGATTCGGAAACAGAACCCAGCAGAAGGAACCACTGGAGAAAAATCTCTAAGGGAAGAAAATCGAGGGACCAAAGCTTTGCTCGTAGACACCAGGTGAGTCACGAGTGTCAACCTTTATCCACAAAGTGGCTGTGCGCAGTTTTCATAGCCAGGGTGTGCAGGATGCGAATTCAAAATCAGAAGCTAAATTATCACAAGATGGGTAAAAAGGTGGTAAAGGAGGGTATAAAAGCTGGGTGGTTCTACTGAAACGTTTCCTCAAATTAGCAAAATAAAAAAATAACAATTGGAATCAGTGTATGAGAAAAGCAGATTTTAGGGGGGAATTAATCAATAACCCCACAGAATACATTGTAGCAGTGCGACTTGAAATGTAAAAAATATTACTTATGATGCTTATAATAGCGGTTCACACACACAATCAAAGCAGTTATACGCCGTTGAATAAATATTAATAAGTCAATCATCATTCTTATGTGTGGTTTTAGGCATGTCCTTAGTCATAATCAACTTTAGAATAAATATGTGTGGTTATATAACAGATAGAGCAGCGTGCTCCCCAATGCCAGACAAGTCTGCACACGCATTTATATGTAGGTGAGACTTTGATTGTAAACAGTTTGAAGGGTTCGCAAACTACCCCAACGCTTGATGTAGCTAATTTTAGTCTCGTAATGGAATAATACATATTTGCCGTAGGATTTCCTGCGTGTCACGTCGGATCCCCCGGACCCCCCTGCCCACCTGCGTTGTAAAAGCGATCCAGCACCGCCGTCTCCCCGAAGTCCAGCTTTCCGAAGTGCACGGTCTCCAGCCGGCTGCCCACTGCCTCGCTCGCCTCTTGCAGGCACTGCAGGGCCATGCTCTCGGCGCTGTGACCCGGGATGCTCTCCCCGTTTATCACGTACGCCACCGTCACCGACCTGCTCTTGCTCTTGCCCGTGGTCAGCAGCCCACCTCCGTCCATGGGGAAGCTCACGCCCGCAGAGCCGATGCAGCCTCCGGCCACTGGGTCCTGCCAGAAAGTCCCGGCCGCTGGAACGGAGCTGACGGCGCCGGCGCTGCCCTCTCCGCGCTGGCAAGCGGGACCCCTGCGGCTGTCCTCCGCCTCGGGGAGAGGGCCGATCGAGGGAACCACAAGGGAAATCCCCTCCGCATCTTGGCTCATCTTCAGAGTTGACCGCCTCTCGGCTCGCGTCGTCTGGAAGTATCGTGCGCGTCTCTCATCTGCAGCTACCTCGTCCTCATCAGCACTGCCATGCATGCAACACGGTGCATTTCCATAACACAGCCGAAGGCATCCCCATGACACGGGGGTAACTGCTCATGCATTGCTTTTAAGCTGCTTTCACGGCGCGACCCCGATGTTACCAAACGCGATCATGCACGACATCAACAGCGGAAGAGCAAGATTAATAGATTTCCGTAAGATCCGATTTCCTCAGATCTACACAAGATCAAAATAAGCCAGCGGCGGGCGACACTGACGCGTGACACGGGCATGCATGTAAAACACAGCAGCTTTTTGAAAACTGGGTTAACATGCAGTTAGTAACTTTTAGAAAAGGGAAAAGAAAAACAAAGTATTTACCGTCTCGTCCCCATATTTGCCGCATCTGCTGTCGACGTGTTCGCACACTTAGAAAAGTTGACCACGATCGCAGGTTTCAGTTTCCGCAGAAGCCGCCCCCCAAGACGGAGGCCATCGGCTCCGATCAGACGCGCCGCTCCCGAACCCAGAGCCCGACCACGCGAATCGGCGGCGGCTACGGCGCTCTGATCGCAGCTCCTGCTCTCCTCCGCTTATTATCTTTCCCACACAGACTCACGCACACTAGGCGGTACCACAATGTACTCAGTCCGGGATAAAGCGGCGTCCGCCCCCTTAAAGGCACAGCGCGCCTCGGTGACGCTCAATGACCTGAAATCCCTCTACCACCAGTGCGCCATCCTTTCACCAGAGATGTCGACCTGCAGGTAAAATCTACGTGGAGTAGTTAAATATTACGGGCAGTTTTACAGCTGTCGGCGAGCAACTTCGGTGTCTCCACAACACCTTTAATTCATTAAATCCTAAGCAAAAAATGTGTCAAGTGTCGATATTCTGATTCACATGTTTACAGAAATAAAACAAGTTCAATTCGTATAAAGCATGACAATGGAGAGAAATGCAATCTATGTCAAATATTTTGTTTTTCTACACGAGCGTCAGTCCCTAGCCCTGAACCTCCTTCAAGTTCAAGTGCAACTAATATATTTTGGCCACTACTGACATCTAGCGGTGACATGATGCAATTTCCTCGTTATGTTTCTTCGCTGTTGATGTATGACGTGTTTTGAAACCTGCATATCCGTCCAGTGCAAGGTGGCGGGGGAGCTGGAGCCAAAGCCTGTCAGATCGGAGCACGAGGTAGGGGGTACAAATAGGAACGGATGTCTGACCTTCATAGGACACACACGCATGCACTCACACACTGAGTCATTTAGAAAGGGTGTGGAGTTCCTTTTGTGCACAGATGGGATTAAATTCCCCAAGCATAGAAGTGCAACGCAACAGTGCTATCAAATGCACTTAGTTTAAAATCAAAGGAAATGACCACATCCCTATCTCAAGTACACATTCTCTCAAAACTTCAGTCCCTCATTTCGGACAAATAATTTAGCAAATCATTTCATAATGTGCTTAAATTAAACTAACACTCAAAATTAAATGACCATTCTTATTCTAACAGCATTGCACATCCATTTAGATTTGGATTCTGGAAATACCAGAATTTCTGGTAATGTGGTTGAGGTAAGAACTTCTAATGACTGGATCAAGGGACTTTAGAGAATGTAGAGCAGGGATACCCAATCTTATCCGCAAAGGGCCGGTGTGTGTGCAGGTTTTTGGGATAATCTGTAGGTCAACTGTTCAAACCCAGGTGTGAAGACTCTTTCAGCCAATCAGTCCTCTAATTAGTAATCTAATTAGGGAGTTGCAGCGAAAACCCACATACACACCGGCCCTTTGCGCATAAGATTGGGTACCCCTGATGTAGAGTAAGGTTGATTGTTCTGCAGTCCTTTGTGAACAGCTCTGAGAAACTACCTGTTTAAATTGTGGTTGTCTGTGCTTTCGATAAATCTGTTTCTGGAACAGGCAGAGCCCCGGCTGGGAGGGATCAACACACTTTTGTGCTCTATAATTGGTCTGGATTCTTGATGGAGGACATATTGAGGTTGGGGCGCGACTCTGTAGAGTTGGTTGCAAGCGGCACTTTCCCCTTTGAGCGGGGTGGAAGACGAGATGCTCTCTGCAGTGATTTATAAGGGACTGTTCCGCAGCAGGCTGGGTGATGAAGAATTGCATGAGGTTCATTGCGGTCGTGATGTCCCTGTCCCATTTTAGGGGGCTGCAGACAGAGGATTTCGGAGACCTCAGACTTCATGGCTGCACTATCAATTTCACCTTCACTCCCCCCATTTTCATTGGTGGTAGAATTTGAGGCATTATGGGTAAACTACAGAAAATAGGTCCTTCATGCCTAACAAATTGCAAGTATTGTTTAAATGTTTCTATTAGCAGAATATACAGCCAGGGGACAATTTATTAGGTAACCTACCTTAATATCAGATGGAAACACCTTTTTGTCTGCAGAACCACAAGGTTGAGGAGTTTGGAACGTTTAGAGATGCTTTCTTGCCCACCTCTGTACCGTACTGGGCTGTTATTTTTGCACTCAGCCTGTATTTTCATGAGTCTGCTCATTCTCCTCTGATCTCCCTCATTAACAGGTGCTTTCCGCCACACAGATCTGCTCCAGACAGAATGTTTTTTTTTCCCCCCCGTTGTATATTGCATCCATTTCTACACACGGTAGTACATTAAAATCCCAGGAGGATGGTTGTTTCGGAGATGCTGACACCAACAATCACAACACGTTTAAAACTGATTAGATCGCACATCTTACGTGTCGTAACGATTAGCTCCGCAGTAAATGAACCTTTTTATCCTGTCTGCATGCTCTATGCATTCTGCTGTAATCTTATTATTCACGGTTTTTAGACTATTTTTGTTAATTCACAGATGAGACTACAGAAGTGGCCACTGAATGCACACATCTTCTGCAATTAAATGCAGTTAGAAAAAACTGATAGGGAGATTGAAGTGTGACCTCTTGTGGTGAATATTATGTATTGCATGCCACTTATAGTGGGTGCCCCGTGAATCTTCCAAATTATCCACTGGGGCAGCAGAGGGCAATATCGGATAAGATTCAAATCAATACAGTATATTTTAAAAGTAAATTTGATTAATTATGATATCGAACAACATAAAATGACATTTTTCACGTCTTACCAGTGTGTCACAGTGGTGTCCATTTGGAAAACTACAAAATCACAAAACCAATTTCTGACTTTTAACGGAGAACTCAAGAATATCCACTTAGGCAATATAGCCAGGCAGCACAGAGAATTCCAAAGGCAATCTCCGACTACTTTAATAAAACAGTAATCAGGACACATGAGGCCAGATATGAGCTCACTAAGAGTCTTGAAGCTCAAAAGCAGCATATATGCAGGGACACCACGCAGAGGCAGACCATCATCTTAGGAGCACAAAAAGCAGAAGTTCCAGAAGATGGGAAGACTGGCAAACCAAATAACTTCATCAGCATTCTCCTAAACACTCAGCTAAAGGACTTTAATGACTGACTGATGAAACAGTCTGAAGAACCCAGCAAGCTCAAAAACGTGCCTAAACAAGTAGATAATTGTGAACAGGTGTTCATGGGATGATGTCCCCAGAAGCTTAAAGCTTCTGCCTGCTCACTGGTGCCCTCTGGTGGCCTCATCTGTACCTTGCCCAGGACATGGAAGGAAGGGTTTGTGTTCATACTGTATGCACATAACATTCTCATACTGCAAATACAGTATACAGGGTGTAATGTATGTGCAATCCTTGTAATGCATATTACATTTTATGAAACTGCTTCTGTATAAAGAAGTATTATAAGCATTTTAAGGGAACATTCTTTGACTGTCACTGCCACACACAGTATGGAAAATGGAGTGACTGTGTACACAGTCTTTAGTGGTAATAGTAGGTGTATGAACATGGTAGTTTACTTTTCATCACATTGTAAATGTGCTTTTTTGGCACTGTGAGGTTAAGTTGGCAACCTGATTCACACCTGTTTTTGAGATAAGGGTGTTTTCCGAAAGAGGTTTTGGCCAGTGGAGGAGAGAGAGTCAGGGAGACCCTTGTGCAGAGTACGGGTGGCCTGACAGTCATGTTGGTGGTTTCAGCTACCCATAATCCCCAGAGGCAGGGCTAAGTGAGCAAGAAGTACCGTGGTACCGCGCGGATCAACACTCGGCAGCGGTAATAACATGTTCATTCTGTTATGCAGCCGAAATTCACCTAGCAGTTCATTTTTCCCGAAGGCTTTGTTACCATCTTCCGATACCTTCAAAATTTTAAACCTTGTCATAAAGTACAAAATTAGTAACAAGAGAGTGACACACCGTCTTTGTATAAAAATATAATAATTTTATTTGAAACTACAAAAATGAAAACATGTAACATTTTGGTCACACTTCTCAATAAAATATTACACAAAACTGTCATTAAGAACAGTTATCTCAGCAAAAAAGCAATAAACATAAAACAACTAACAATAAACATATCAAAGCCAGAAGACAGACAAATGCTTTTACCTTAAATTAACTTAGTCAACTGTACAAAAATATGTACAATATTTACAGCATTTTTATCATAAAGGAATGAAGCCATAAATCATCCAGTCTCTTTTGTTTCTGACAAAATACTGATTTCTTTCCAATTACCTAAATCAGTCAGTCAAAGTCTAGCATCCTTTCCTTCAGTGCTGTAGCAAACCCTTGAAGCACGTTTGCCTTGCTCCTTGTCTCAGGCAATGTCTGTTTGGTCAGCAGACGCTGCAACTACAGCTTGTTGTCGTCAACACTATAACAGAGACTATCCCCCAACAGTGAGGGGAATGGGCACTGGATAACGAGAGCACATTCAACGGGCTTGCTGGTGGGTACGGCATTTACGCTTCTCTTTGGGGTTAAAATCTTCACCCTCCGCATTGCAAGTGCTCTGAGTCTCAAAGCCGGACAAGTCTGTCGGCTGGCCACCACAGCTCAAGGGGGAGAAAACTAACACCTACCAGCTTGTGACAGCATAGGGTCGTCACTGCGTAAATCTATAGTGCAGTATTGTCACAGAGGCTGCAGCACAGCCCCCCGTCAATATTCTGTAAGGCGACTAGCCCCACACCTCAGTCTATACACTTTTACACATGCGCTTTATATAATCGTATAGTTTTGTGTCTTCATAAAAATAGACAATGCATATTAAAAGGAACATACCAAGTAACAAAAAAGTATTGTGCTGCAAATGAGATGGTTATCTGTCAGATTCAAGTGAACAGTTGTTGTTCTTTCGTCTGTTTCCCCGGCGGGGGGAGGGGGGGCACTTTCACGCCATGTCGCCCAGCATTTTCTTGTAGTACATGGACTCGAAGACGTCGTTCTCGCTGGGGCAGTTGTAGTGGCAGGCGCACGTCTTGACGAACATCATCTGCTTCTTCATGACCTGGCCGTCGGGGCACTTGAACTCCATGGGCAGGGTGGCGGTCCGGTGAGGGGTGCAGCAGCGGCCGTCCGTGCACACGCCGCAGAACTTGGGCAGGTAGGACTTGGTGGTGGTGCAGCCGGAGAGCTCGAACTTCATGGGCTTGGAGACTCTGGGGGTCCGGATGCACTTCTTCCCTTTCTGTGGAAAATCGAGACAAAGTCTGGTTGGTCACAAAGCCACTAACAGAGAACCTCTCCATGCACCAGTACCTGCTGGTCATCTAAAGCCCGATCGTGATGCTAACCCTGATGCTCTGCTCCAGGTGTGACTCGCAGGGGCGGACCATGCACAGGCGGGACTGCTTCTCCAGCCGGCACTCGCGGTTGTCATTGGTGACCCGGGTGGAGATGCCCAGGCCACAGGACTTGGAGCAGGCGCTCCACTCGGTGGTCTGGACCAAGCAGTTGTCCCGCATCAGAGAAGGGTCAGGCCCATAGGTATCTTCTTCTCTGTAGGCTATGGGGAAGAATGAGGTTAGGGGTTATGGTGATGGATCGAGACCTTCACTGGCGTTTAATGATGAACAAACTCGTCGAGCCCAACGGACGAACGGGAAGGGAGTCACACTCACCGGGAAGAGCAGGGCCTACGAAGGTCTGCTGGTGTGGAGCGTCACACACCCATTCCTCGCAGCACTTCCCGGGGACCTTGACCCGCCGGGGCACGGGGCAGTCGGGGCTGGGCAGGCGCACGTCGATGCTGCAGAGCGGGACGCAGCCTATGGCGCCATCCAGGCAGGTGCACTGGTATTTACAGCTGCTCTGGAAGGACTCGCCGCTCCTGTACACCATTCCTCCGAACAGGCAGGTGGCGCCTTCTTTAGCTGCAGTAGACGGGAGTGAGATTGGCGGGGTCACGTTTCTGTGGCACAGCACGGGGCCAAGAGGCAAAATTTGCAGGTCTGGCTAGAAGCGCAGCGGGTGTCCCAGCCGCTTACCTGTGCAGACACCGATGCGGCGGTTAACCGGCGAGCCGAAGTCGCAGAACAGCCCCTTGTGGGGGTCGCAGACGTCCCGCTCGCCACAGAGCTCACCCAGCTGCTTGGCGCACACTCTGCAGCAGCCGCAGGCGTCCGGCACCAGGCTTACCCCGGGGGCACACTGGGGTGGGACAACGGGGCAGTTGCACCGGCTGCTGCACTCCTGGGCCGAGGCCTGAAGGGCGCAAACAGAGGTGATCAGCACGGACCTCCAGGCAGTGAGCGAGGGCACGACAAGCCGGCGTATATCACAGCAAAAGCCCACGACTCTGAATAACGTGGCCAGAGGTGCTAATGGCACCCAGCTCTCAGGTATCACCTACATGCAGCCCAGCGAGGATGAGAAACGGTATCACGGACGTTCAGTGCTTATTGTTAGTATGATCTCAAGTGGGCGACTTACCCAGCAGAAGAACGTGAGGCACAGCAGAGCGCTGCTCTTCAGCGTGTTCATTCCCGCAGACATGACTGATTTGCTCAGCTGCGCTCTCAGCAAGGCTAAAACAAACGAGAAAACTAACGAAAAACAAACGAAAAACCTTCCGAAAAGTCTACGAATCTCTCCCGGATCTTGTCGCAGCAGAGTCTCGGAGCGTGGTCTGATCGAGGCGATCCCGTTGTAAGGTTCTGTCCTGGCTTTGGTCAAAGCTAGATTTTAGCTTCAGTGGTTCTGCTGTGGTTGCTGTTGCTCTCTGGAGGAGTTTTGTTCTGTGTCGGGAGCTGGGAGCCCTCCTGTATTTATACAGGCTGGGCTGCGGTGACGTGCTACTGGCTCAATGGAGTCCTGGACAAACATGGACATTCTTGGCATTTTTTCCTAGTTTCCTGCCCCCACCACCCCCCCGGACTCACACCTCCTGACATCCCACATTCCTCCCGTCTGAAACCAAGCGCTGGCATGTATCAAAATAAAAGTGCAGTCTCGACATAAACTGTTCCCTGGAATGTTTATCTGTGCCAGTCGGGATGTTGTGGATGTACGTAATGCTACAGTAAAAGCTTCCCTTCTCAGCTTCTCAGCTCAGGGCTTCATGCCTTTGGTCTGAGTGTAAATATCACCTGTCATAATAACGGCCATATTGCAGAACCGTTTCAGAGTTAGTTTCTGAAATTAGAATAAAAATAAAATTGTTTAATATACTTTTGTGCTTCTTAATTCTTAATCTATTACTTCCTCTTGTATCCCACGGTAACGGGGTGAGTGAGTAATGATAATGTTGGCTTCCTGATGTACGGGGCTCAGTTCTTGGGTTACTGAGCCACACAATAGCCGTTCAGTTCTTCGGTTGCCCTCACTAGCTACCGTTGGTTTTTTTCCGTAGCCGTGTGCTTTCGCCTCGCGAATGAGGGTTAGTCTGGGGCCGGCGGGCGCAGGTGTGCCGCATTCCAGGCACCGTATCCTATTTTGCACTGTAGAGCAGATCCTTGGCTTGCAGGAAAGCGGCTAGACTCGGGGTTTGTGTATTTTTTTTTAATGTTTTTTTCTTTCGCAGGAACTCCAGACTCTCCTCCCCGGCTCCCTTATGAAAGGCGGGCCCGCCGCATGCCAGCCACCGAATCGGAAATGAAAAACTCCCCGAGAAAGCTCGGAGTAGCAGGAATGTGCGATCTGCGCCAGCAGACGTACTCGCACTACATGCGTACGGACTGAGAGGAAGTTGGCCTTATAAGGGAATGTTCACTTTCAGGCGCTCCCTCGCTCCCTCGCTCCCTCGCCCGCTTGCTGGCCCTCTCCCCTCCGGCAGGCGTACAGGAGGAGTGTCCCCACCTTGCACTGTCCGACAGCCGTCGCGCTGGTGTTCCTGGATGCTAATGTGCTCCATCCGTCAGCGCTGGTTCATTTGGGGTGAAGCCAGTCACCACCTCTGTCCAGCCTTTGTTCTCGTTCAAGACAAATGATGGCGGCCAAATGGGGGCGTGTTTGTCTGCTGCAGGACAGACAAACTGACACACCGATGGGGATAAAATAAGATAAGATCAGATTATATGGAAAAATAACTCCCACCAACAATCAAGCACAACAATCCTTTATTTGCCATTTGCACAAGTACACATACAGGTACGTTGGGATGCTTCTCTTTGCCGACACCATCTTGCTCTCCATAGCTTGGGGGTCACAGTACAGGGTCAGCTGATGTACGGGGCCCCTGGAGCTGGGGGTTAAGGGCCTTGCTCAAGGGCCCACGGACATGTGACTGTTCTGCCAAGGCCTGGGCTCAAGCCAACGATCTTCTGATCAGAGATACAGAGCCACTCACCCCTCCCCACACTAACACTATTACTAAGTGATAGGAAAGGGTATAAGGGTATGGAGGCACTGGATGTGACGCCGACAGTGTGTTGGGGGCAAGTCAAACATCAACATCCCACTGCACTCATGCAGAACCCACTGTCAGCGCGTCTGCAGTTATCTCGTCTCGCCGGGCCTGCTGTCGCGTGCCTTTCCCAAGAAACTCCCCAGTCAGTGGAGAATAGGTAAATTCTTTCGGCTCTGTTAAGCTTTAATGTCATGCCCTCTGATTTTCCACACTGTCTGGCTGCGGCATGGCAGCTATTTCAGAGTCGCTGCTCCAGATGGGGCTCCTGCTGCATTACACCTGTTTCAGTTTCCCATCAGCGCCCGTGTTTCAGCGTCTAAGTTATCACCCCCGGCGCTCTCCGGGCCCTCGAGCCGTCGGGTTGGATCGTAGCTAGTTTTAGAAAAATCACCTATTACGTTAGCTATGCAGACTGTATTATTGGAGTGACAGTTCAAAAGAAAGGTCAAAGGTCAGCCCATGATGAAGTGGAAAGGATTCCATATTTGGTGTAAATAAAGCTATGCCAGTTTTAATTGGGCAAAGACAGCCATGTGACCAAACTGGTGGGCATATGGGTTAGGGTGGGTGGGTAATTTAGTGTTCCCAGGGTAAAAATAACAAAGACACATTAGTAAGAGAGACTGCCAAACGGTAATCTTCTCTGCCCCATTTCCATTCTCCTCAGGCTGGTATTTAGGTGACTTGAATTACAGACATTCTACCAGAACATTCTTCCTCCGAATCCATAATCTTTAACGAATCCAAAGAAAACAGCATAAAGCCAATTCATCCATCTTGACTACTCCAGCATTTTTTACCGGTAATTTGAATGATGATGAACAGCATGTGGTTTGTGAAACATTATTGTCAGTTAGACTGAAGTTTAATTTGTTGTCTTTATCATTAAATGTGTCATTTCTGATGTTTAACATGTTTTATACTTTTTGACCGAAGTACAACTTTGATTAACCTTGATGCTTCCATGTAGTCCACAGCAACAAGCAATAAGCAGGAGAATCGCCTTTGGCTTTGTACATAATAATGGCAAATTAAACATTCCATTACATGGCAGTAAGACAAGCAAAAAGTGACCAATATATTAGAACTATGAGAGCAGTCCAGTATCAAGCAGCCTTCGCCAGGACTCCTTCAGCCAGCCTGTGAGGTAATCGGTTTGCTTAGCTCGCTCAAAAATTCTCCAAAAAAACAATCCACTTTTTCCTTCAGGTACTGTTAACCTAACCAGGCTTTTCCCAAAGGCGTAAATCACTTTAAGCGGTCAGAGGCCATGTGAAAAATCTCGGATGAGCCTTACCCACCTCTGGTTTTAACGGTAGGATATTTCAGTGATTTAACATGCTGGAAGCAAGTCTTCCTGGCAATAAACGAACCGGCGAGACGGATTTGGGAAGGAGACACGGGCGTGGGTGAATACCTTGACTTCCTCGTGTGGCGATGGCGCACGTCACGCGGTCGGAGCGGCACGACGAGGGATGCCCCTCTGGTACGCACTTTTCTGCAAAATGTTTCCCTGGCGGCGTTCCTGTGGGATTTGTTAAAACATTCGTCGTGGGATTCACCTCCCTTAGTGGACTGGAGAAGATGACTCATGTGTCTCTCATCAGGAAATGTTCAGGGTGAATGCAGGTCCTGTCTCAGTGCCTGGTGACGGCAGCAGGCGGCACATCGTTACAGGCTCCAAGTTATGGGTTTGGTGGTTCTACACAACATCTTCTTGTTCCTCTCAGTACACAAACAGTCACCTTCCAACAGGGTAATGGAAGAGTGACAGACACCGCTAGAGGTTTTAGGCCCTATGAGAGCATATCGGGCTCCCAACCCAGACAAATTCAATTACGTTCCAAATTATTTGGGCACGTGCATGTCCGTACCTACCACTGAGGGCCCCGAGGTCAAGTCCTCAATAACCACCATCCATTACGGGGCACACCTAGGATGGGCTAACACTTTTCACCTTGGCATTTTAGAAATCCTTCCATCAGCCCTGGGCCCCTGTCTCCCAGCGGCCCTTGGAGTCATTCAACCCCCCCTTTACAGGGCCCTTGGTGCTAGGAAGCACATCACCGTAGATTTTGTGTAATTCCTTAAACATACAACATTCAGGTAAACCAACACTTTTTCTAGTAGAAATAAGGAAAGGTTGTCAAAAAAACTGAAACGTATTTATTCACGAAAAGTAATTGCACTCTAATTTAGAAGGTAAGTGTGTGTGTGTATATATATATATATATATATATATATATATATATATATATATATATATATATATATATATATATATATTGAGCCGTAAAGCAAAGGAGCAAGACTTTCTCCTCATAAACATTCTAAAATTAGCATTTGACTCTTTTGTGGTGAATTTCAGTTGTATCCATTCCCCCCCCTGCATTCAGGGCTGCTTAAAGTTGAACATGTGGTAATGATTTAAAAATTTGCTAATTATGAGAGATGCCATTTAGACTCTTTGAAGTTCCTGGCTTGACTTAAAACTTCATGGTCCAGTCACAAAGTTTTGGGCTGTATTTCAACCACAGCACACAGAAATAAACTGATACATTTTCACTTAAAGATGGGGAACAGAAAACTGTTTCAGAGAAGTATGGACTGGGAGACTATTCATGTGATGTTGAGTATCCATAAACCTGTATTCATAAGAGTCTGAATTTAGAGTGGAGATACTGCTACCCAGACATCTATAAAATAATAATAATATTGTAAACAAAGATGTCCAGCAAGGACTGCAACGTCCTGGCAGAACATCAGCTTGGGTCTGCAAAACCACTCTTTTCCTGAACGGAATTCCATGTGTGTTCTTGCTGAATTCTGAACTCTCTGTTCATTTTGGAGTTTAGTGTACTGCCACAGCAGAGTACAGTATTCCAAATATAGGCCTGGGAGAGTCAGCGCTTTACCAGACAACCTGGCTGAGGTTTCCTTCTCCCTTTCCTTAAGGATCGCGGCAGCATTCCTCGGAAGATGGGCATTATTCTCACGTCTCCCAGAGAGCCTCGTGTTTGCAGTAACTTGGCTGAGACTCATTATGTTTTCAATGGCACTGTTCTTAAATCTCTCCGCAGCTCTTTTGTTTAACACGCAGAAGGAGAAAGCCGTGGAAGGCGGCGGTGTGGACCCACAGTGACCGTTTATCGTCATTCTGAAGAATGTTTTCCTCGTACTGTAACAGCCTGCAGTGGTTAATCCCCCCCGTGTGGCTTGACTGGCCACATTACCATCTAGATTAGGCCCATTCAAATTCCCCGGTGGGCCATTGCAGTGTGGACCGGTGCAGATCAGGCATCTTAAGCGGCCTTCTGCTCAAGCTCGTGACAAGATACATTCCTGCTTGATTTCCCAGCATGTCACTTCATCTCCTTGATCTCAGAATTAAAGCTCTGAACAAACCCTCGCGAACTGGCCTTGTTTATCGTACTTATAAGCATATTGCTGCTCAGTTGAAGTGTTTCCGCTTTGGCATTAGGAGATATGTTGCTATGTGTCCATTCATTCATCTTCTAACCGCGTGTCCCGGTTAGGGTCACTGGGGGTCTGGAACCCGTCAGAGGTAGCACAGGGCACTGGGCTGCGGTTCACCCTGGACAGGAACTGCTATGTAGCTATGCTATTAATCATTTTTGAAGCACAAATTCAGGGTTGTCCAACTGCAATCTAAAACGAGTTGTTGCTACTAATGGAACGCTGATATGCCAGAACTGTCGAGTCTAATGATCGTTTTTGGCCACATTGCAGAATTGCTTGGAATTTAATTGTCGATCATACATCAGCAACAGCACTGACATGATTAGTTTTTATTATCCCGATGGGGCTTTTTTCCTCTGATCAGATCGCTCTTTTCAGAAACACACAATGAGATGCACGGACTACCTCCTAGGCACTGAAAAGCTCTCATTCATGGGCCCAGAGCTCACTGACTCCCAGGTGCCAAGACAAGCAGCAGTGGAATGCCCTCATCATCCTCTCCATGGCAACCGGCAAGAGTTCCTGGGAACAAACAGTACCTGGATCTTATAGAAACAGCGCAACTGTTTCCTGTTGAAGTGCAAGCTGTTGTGGCTTTGTGGACGGATGCCGACATCATAGGGCGCTTGTCCACTGCACCAGGTACCATATTTTTGGTACTTCAAGAAAGTCCCAAAAATATGGTTCTTCAAGGTGTTGGTTTTCCACTGGCATAAAAACTGGTACCAGCACTGAATGACATCACAACAGGAGGCGGGTATTTTGTACTGAATTTGAAAAATGACTGTAGTATATTATAGGGCTGGACGATGTGCGATATTAATACCAACATCGCATGTTATGAACATGCAATTCTCACATTGCTAGTAAGCTAGATTAAGATCAGACTTTTTCTTACCTTGGAAATTATAGTCCACGGAGTTTAATTTTCACTAAAACATTTTTATTCTTAGGAAAAAAGTTAGCAATTTTAATGATCATTCCTTTTCAAGATTACCTAGTATATGTTTAACAACTTAATTTAAAGTTTACCTCCGCTGCTTTTGCATGAGTGTGGCATGTGTTCTCTGAGACAATCATAATCATTTTCATCCTTGCTGTTTACTTCACTCCTAGACAGGTTTGTAAGAAATTTATGTTCAAATGCATTTTTGTTTTATAAATACCCTAATATTTATTACAACAAAATCACATTGCAATACTTGAAAATTTTGCAATGCTGTACTGTCCTGGTACATTATACAAAGTCTATTTCTTGTTACGCATCCTAACCTTGTTGCATTTTTTCTGCCGACCAGAGAGAGAGAGAGAGAGGAAAGGAGCGTGCACTGACACAGTGCATCACTGCCATGCAACAGCATGAGGTTTGGCTGCTGGCTGGAGGGCCAATCCTGCCACCAGCCCCCAGATTTTCCCTAAAAATTGGAGGACGTGCTTGGAGGACCTGCTCTTCCAACCAGATTGCAGTTAAAACATGGATCACTTCATGTGTCCATGCATCCATTATTATTGTTTTTTAAAGATTTTTTTTCTTTACTTCATTTATTGTTGTTTTCTGAGTTTGCAACTTTTTTCAAGATGGCGGTTGTATTATGTTTCAGCGGCAGGCTATTTGCATAAGTACCAAAAAAGTATACCAGCTTGTTTTGGTACCAAAAGTATAGTTTTCTCTTCTCATGATATAATTGAGAGCTGATGTGTCAGCATGAGACCTCGCTGTTTTATTGATGTCCATTGATATTGTATCTGCCTGCTGCTGATTGTCGGTCAAGAAACGAAGCGAAAGAATATCAGCCTTGCAAAGGATTCACATGTGAACTGAGTACTGAATTGAGATTTCAATTTGCATAAATCCAGCACCGTGACTCTACAGCTGCTCTAACGTCCTGCTTATGGGTAGAGAAACACCATCGTCGACTCCTGCTGTGTTTCAGGCAGCTGTCGTGCTCGTCTTTGTGGTCCCTGTATCAGTCTCCAGGCTGAAGGCACCCTTGGAAGACGGCAGTGCAGAGAAACAGAGAAGCTGTACCCCGAATGTCTAAGTGTATTTTAATATTTCTTCCATTGGCTATGTTAACCAAATTCACGTTTGATGGCTTGCAGTTCCCTTGATGTTCTTACTTCCTTAAAAGGAAAAGTTGTGCTTAAACTGCAGCTCCTGTGATGTAAAGAAACGAATAGGGTTGTGTAAATCCCCTGTTTACACTGGCTACCCGGAAGAATGGGCCAGATATGCTGGAAAGGAATATGAATGAAATCATGAATTTATTTTGCAATATAATTTATTTCCCTGCAGTGTCAGTTTGCCTTGTTCCAAGCGAGGATTGCTGTCAATTTTCAGAGCGAGCTTCATGCTAAGGACGTTAGCATTAGCACCTAACCAGACATTGAAACCGCAGCGGTTTAGCAAGATGGATGGATGAATAGAAGG